TTATACAGCTTATGTTTCCTTTACTTTGTCAGCTTGCCAAAAATGTGTATCCCTGTTCAATTTACCTCTAGATTCATGCTGGCTTTCCAAATCCAATTTATCGMTAGAGTATTTTTAGGTTTAGAGTGGGTCATTTTCTAGACTTCTAAATATCAGTTTTTTAATCATCACTTCAGAGAGAGATTTGATCTATGTGCCATGACTTACTAGAAATGAAAGGTTTGTAGTAAATATAAATCTCTTAAAAAGAAGCCTCTAGCCTCTAAAATTAAAGGTCCTCTTAGTGAGTTTTGTTGTTTGTTTGTTTTTCTCTTTATTTTGCTTTTTAATCCACCTGCTTTTTTGGGGTAGGTCGAAACTATGCATTAGAGATTGGTACAAAAATAAGAGAGTTGGTTTGGATTCTGTATGCTAGGCTTGCATGGATGGGAACATTGACATGTAGTTGTAGCAGTTTGATCCCCAAAATAAAGTAATTGCAGTGCTGCATTTCTGTTCATAGCCTAGGCAGCAGGGCTTAGCTAAAGTAAAATATAAAACTTTTATGGTTAAGTGTTTGTGGTTCTTAAATTACTCCTGTATCTGCTCTCCATTTGGTGTGAACTTGGTTCTGGTTGTGGTAATGTCCAAGATGTATTTTAAATACTCTCTGGAATACCTGGAAGACTGCTGAGGAATACATTCCTTTTGCCCAAACTCAGGGTCCCATTTCCGAGAAACTTCAACAATGATGTTAGAAATTATTGAGATGCCTGAAAATTTGACTGAGGTTATAGCACTTGAAAGCAATCCAGACATAGGTACAAAACAAATTTTTCTTTCAATGAATACTGTCTTAACTTAAATCACTGAAATAAAAGGCTTGTTTTCTGCTGTCTGTTGTTGCAAATAGATAAAATTCTTTGTGCGAGAGCTTCATATAKGTCCTTTCAGCAGCTTCCTGATATTAAACAGTATTTGGAGGAAACAAATACATTTCTAAAAATGTGAGGCATTTGAATAGGAGTTATTATTCAAGAGGAGCAAGGAGTTCTTTCAGTCGTTTGAAGCTCAAGAATTTAAGTACTGCCCAAGTCTTTCTMTGAAGAATTCTCAAGAAAATGTTACTTAACTGCAAGTAGTAGGCACAATAAAAAAGCAAACTGTGGTGTTAATTAATTAAAATCAGGAGAGTTCCACTATAATGAATGCAGGTACTAAGCCATCATCATAAATACTTACTATTACTCAGCATTAGAAAATTCGCTGTATTTTGAAGGTAGCACAGTATACAAGTTTTATGCAGAAACAGGGGCCTTCAACTGGTGATCTTGGTAAATGAAGGCTGAGAACTTTAAATCCTCTTGGTAATCATTTTGGAATTGAAAAGCTTATAATTTTGTAGTATAGGAAATACAGCTGTAAGTACTATAGTCACCTTTGTTTCATACTGGCTTCTTATAACTTGTACTCACATTTTTTTTCCTTCTCTTTGCAAGAAGATTGCTTTGTGTGGTGCTTCTAGCTAGTTGAAAATACAAATAATTGCAGTGAAGCTGTGTTGGAAGAAAAAGCTAACTGATGATTCAGTTAAATGTGAAGCAATTGCTGTTGGTGTTTTGGCCGTCATAAGATGGAAAACGTCTCCCAAAGACAATTTCACTTAAGAAAGAGATATGACCTATATAAAGTTGAGTTTCAATTTGTTTGATGGAACATCATGGAAGCATTATAAAAAATTTATGTTGCATTTATGCGAAAGACGTGAGAAGTYGAACTTAAATGGACCATTGGAGAATAACACTTCTGAACACTTTTCCTTGTTTTCTGAGCTTTAGTAGTGTGTGGAGCTGATAAACATTTATTGCTAAATGTATGTTTAGTTATTGACTTACATTTAATAAATAGTTAACTAACCTCTTTGAAGATYCTATTTCTTTTTGTTTAAGTGACTATAGTGTGATTTACAGCTATGTATTTACAATGCTTTTGCATTAAAGAAGACAACTATGACTTAATTGAAAGTTATTACTTTAAGGTCTCTGTTGGGAGGACCCATTGATAAAACAGAAAAATAARCTCTTGGAGAGCTGAGTAATGTTACTTGTTACCTTACGTGGCTTGTCCTTGTGGTAGAACTGTTCGAAGGGACTTGGAGCATTTTGAAAAAGACCCTTAATGTTGTGCTGACATATGAGACCTATGTGCCAAGTTTCTCAGCTGCATTGTCTTGTGACTCTGACTTCTGCCTGCCACATAGCGTCAGAAGTTTCCATAGCTAAAAACAATATAAAATCACAGCAAAAAGGATATGCAGTTTTGTAACCAATTGCTACAGGTTTTTGGCCACCAATGGTGAAAACTTGGCAAGGGATTCTATTTGTTTGTATGCTTTCTAAATTTTAGTATTTATGTAATTATTTTCTTTTCCCTCTTCCTTTGGATACTCAGGAACGCTAGACTTCCACTTTTAGAAATGTTCTAAGAGGTAGCATTGCAGCATGGCGCTAGAAAATACAGCAGTGACTAAAAGCACCAGCTCTTGTGAGGCTTTTGATGGCGCTTGGTGTGATTATTGTTACTGTTTTATTTTGTACTCTGTGCACTAACAATAAATGTGGGTGCATGAATATCTTACAAAAGTAAAGACCAGATAAGCTTAAAAATACATTTCAGCTTTAAAAAGGCAAACTACTTCAACTACTTTTAGAAACATGTTCTGTAATTTGGTACTGTGTGCATTTGATCTAATCTTTTCTAGAACATGGCATATATTATGGGTGTGTGTGTGTATTTGTGACTTTTTTTTTTTATGTGGAAAAGACTGAAATTCTTTGGGCCTTGCAGTTTTATCATTAATGCAGTGAAGCCAGTGCTGCTGTTGAAAGGGGCACACAGCTACAGCTTTTATGCTGACACATTGAATCTCTGGGCAACTGCTCTGGATGGTAAACAGGCCTTGCCAGGCTAGCACTTAGCCAGGGCACTTCCTTGATCCAGTTCATTATGTAGCCACAAAGATTCTAGTTCTGAATAAAAAATGTAATGTGGGAATGAGCGGTGGCAAAATGAAGAGGGATCATCTCCTTAATGAAAGTAAAGGTTTATATGAGATTAAATCAAATCCATAACCCTCTGTAGACTTAGTTATCTGTAAAGGGCTTATTGCTAATGTCGTGTTTCTCAGAACAGTACTTAAACAGAATCAACTGCTGAAAGTGCTATAGTCAAAAGTCGTTCAGAAGTTTCACAAGGAATTACAGTTTTCAGGTGACTTTTTATATTCTTCCAGGAAGATTAGGTACCAAACACCTGACAAAGGTGATGAAACATTGTAGTATCTGTGAATACAAGACCTGTATATTTTATGACAGCAAACTCAGTCATGTAATTTGCTGTCCCAGCACTTTTTCAGAGAAGCTAGATAGTTCGCAGGTTCTCTGTTTTCAGATTACCCTGTAAAGCTATTAGCCAAAGGATTTAGAGAATGCTGAAGTGATGTTGTACAAATCACCACAGAAGACTCTTGAAAGGTATAGGCTCTCTTCTTTCAAGATTAGAAGGGTTTGAAAACTTGTGTATTGAGTGTTAAAAAATCCAAATCTGAGGTATTTGGACTAAAGAGTTTTACACATCTGTGTGAAATTTGTGTCTTCCTCCTTCCTGCCTTCTCTTCCCACTGGAAGAAATTACAGCATGATTATAAATGCTGTAGTTGCATAATCCTACATCAAAGTTTCTTGTTGGTCTGTAGGATGAAAATAACTGATGATAGTTTTTCTTCAACTGACTACTCAACATTCTAATAGCAAGTTGTAGAACTCTTGTAAAAAGTGCAGAGAGGTAAAATAMCTTTTCAATATGACTTCAGTAAAAGCAAGTAAGAGATGGAAGAGAAGACGGGTTGCAAAAAATAGTAGTATACCTTCTTCCCTAAACCGCTAATGTTTCTGCAGTAATAAATACATGAAACTTCTCAATTTTAATCCACATGGGGTTGGACTAWAGTCCTTTGTAACTAAGACATCTACAGCTGCAGCAGAGGCTGTAGAGGAGAGCTGTGTTCAGAGGAAGAAACAAGACTTTTATTCTTGCTTGGATTTGTGGTGCTGTCCTAAAGTTTTCATGGTGGAAACATGGAACCCAAATGTAGGTGATTCCTAGCTCCATGTAAGTGTAGAATAGTACTGTGATTGTTTGGTAACTACTCTTCAAGCATTGTGCTTTCAACTTTTGCAGAGRTACGAATTTCTTGAATTCACCGGGAGTTGCACCTGTGATACTTGGGCAGAGTATTGACAGCTAATTTTACTCTTAGTATAAAATTGATTTCTCTAGTTTTTAGATTATTGAACATTACTGAACAGGGCATTGGAGAACAACTTTTTTTCCAGATTTGGAAAGTGCAGCTGAGCAGTGATGTGTACTGCCTGAGCAGCTGATGAAATACGCTTTTCAATATGTTATTTTTGTAAAGTTTCCGGATGTTACATTTGCCAATTACATGTCTCAATACTATTTAATCTGAATTCTAAGGGAAAATTAGTAAAAGGTACTGCAGATAAACTGGCAAACGTCTAAAGTTAATTTCTTGCCTTCTGTAAAAGTGTGATTCTGTAATCAGATTACTCAGAGTGATAGTAGTAAAACTACTAATGCTTGCATTAATTGGTTTACTGTGGAGAGTCTGACTAGTTTAATATCTTATGCAGAACAAGCCTCTGTATCCCTGGTCTGATAAGAGCTTTTTCTTCTTTATCTCACTTAAAGATGAATTGAAAGCATTCTTGTTCTGAAATGTACCCATTGTGGTAGTAGAATGGGAAACAAATTCCTATAATGTAGTATTTTAAGTGGTAGAAATTAAAAGATTTCTTGTGGAATTGCTCTTGAATTTTCATGGAATCTCTGCAAATCTATATTTTTTACTTGCTTCTTTAAAGTCTTTGAATTGTACTAGTTGTTGAGGGATGGAGTTTGGTATGAAAGCAGAGTATTTGATTTCTCTCTATTTTCCCCAGGAATTACTGACGTAACCATGATAGAAGATAAAGGTCCACGAGTGGCCGACTATTTCGTAGTAGCAGGGCTCACTGATACAGATACCACATCTCTCCTGGACCAAGAAATAAGCCACCATGAAACAAAACGAACAAAGCCAATTACAGACATTGCTGTGATAATTAAATCAGCTGGTGAGACAGTTCCAGAAGGATACACTTGTGTTGAAGCCACCCCTACAGCCCTTCAAGCAAACTTAAACTATGGGAGTCTTAAGAGYCCGGAGCTTTTTCTTTGCTACAAAAGAGGCTGGGACAAACCACCTCTTATTGATATCGGGTAAGATTTTTGTAACTGTTCAGTTCATCCTTCAATAATAAGTTGCTACTTTTCATAGATGATAATGAAAAACAAGTATCAGCATACTTTTAAAGAAATTCTTTCTTTGGTTCTATATTCTTTATTGTATGTAKTGTTCTCTTTCTAAGATAACTCAAGCAGAAAAAGTAGCAGTCTCCTATTAAAGCTCTCTCTTTAAAAAGAATGATAATATTTAAAGTGATACAAGATATATATATAATGGAGGAAATCAAATATAACAAGTAAAGTGTAGTTAAGTTTTATGAAAGAAATCTTTCATAAAGGAATAGCACAGAATTAATGTATGCACATGGTGTAGTAGAAAGCCCCAAATCAGGAGACAAACATGTTTACTTCATGGAATTATGTTAATGCCTAATATGAAAGGTACCACTTAATAATTGTAGGATATTGAATCAAAGTGCATAAAGCTTATCCACCTACCTAGAATCCTGTAGTCCATTTTACTGTCAGATCAGAGTATTTGTGAAGTTGCTTAAAAATTCTGCCATGATTGACTACAAATTCTGGATTGTGTAGGCTCTTGGCAACTCTGGTGATGCTTTTTTTTTTCATAAACCAGAGCTTTTTGATGTCTGAAGGTTAAATTTCTGCATAATTCTTATTATGGTATTTAAATACTTAAATATGTTTCACTTGATTACTGATACCTTGATACTGACACTTGTAAATGTTTTAGAAATTAGTTGACATTTGATCTCTTAACTACATACAAAACCAATTATGGACTATATTCTCTTAACCCTAGTCAAATAGTCAAAACTATTTAATCATTCTTCAGAAATATTTGTAGAATCTTTTTACTAAAGTCTAAAACAGACTCTGCGTAAGTTAGGGAACTATTTTAATTGTGTGAATACAGAACTGATTTCAGAGTAGCAAAAGAAACAGTTAAATGGAAGAGGGAGGAGAAAAAAAAAGGTTATTATAGGTCTAAGATACTTCTTTTAAAAACAGATTGTTTTTTCAGAGCTAATGCTTCTTTTGGAAAGTATTTGAGGCTATTGCTATTTTTAATTTTTAAAGACTGAAGAGATGAATTTTAAGTTGTAAGATTTCAATAAAAGGGAAGTGTTTTCTATCTGAAATTTGTTAATTCAAACTCTGAAATCTAGACTAGCACCAGAATTTATCTGAAAGTAACTATTTTTTTTCCCTTGTTTTCTTCATGCTGATGCTCSTGTATAGGGTGCTATGTGAGGAAGTAAATTTTGGGAACTTCTATGACTCTAAATAATGTTTTGGAGGAAGACGATGCAACTTAGGTGCTTAAAGTCAAATGAAAAATTTTGAAACTTTGCAATCAATATTTACTATAGTTTCAATAGTTACTGTGTTGAAAAATGTGAGAACTTAGGCTGATAAACTGCAGGGGAAAAATTCAGAGCTATGGAGCTGGGTGTTATGAGTTTTATGAGTTTAGTGCTTGATAAATGCAGGTTGACAACATGAACAGAGACGCTCTAAACTAATTTTATGACTTTTAAAATACTGTTTCTAGTGCAAGCATTCATGGACCAATATTGAAAGGTCCATCAAGATGTTAAGATGRTGAATGTTGTACTCTGTACTGCTGCTGTAATGAGGTAATTACCATTGCTTATGGTAATCTTTGCGGTAGTATTGTATTGGATTGTCAAAATTGTGTATGTCACAGCTGCTGCTCTCATTTGGGAAAGGACATTGCAGAATCCATTGTGGAGGAATTAGAAAAAGACAGTGGAGCATTAGGTGAGGGAAAGTGCTGCAGTGGTGATAAATTAAGAAATATGCAAGTTTTTCCTTACTTAACAATTAAGTAATAAAATGGGACTGGAGACATGCATATCTTGAGGTCATGGGAATTTAATTTCATTTTTAAGTAAAAGCATGTCAAGCATAATGCCAGAATGGTAACTGTGTATATACTATGTAAATAACCTCCACTTCATCAATGCTAGCTAAAAAGTGTAGTGTACTTGGGAAAAAATAGTAGTGCAGTGTTAAAGTCTGTGCATTAGGGGTAGRTTCAAGTTGAATGATAAACCATGGTATAGCTCATAGCTTTATTATTTAATTTATTTTCTAATAATCTCTGGTGATCTTCGGTGTTTTTAAAAATAGTTTTCTGCCATATGTGATTCAAACTGCAAGATTGCTGTAATGGGATCTGAACTTGTGTAAGTCCACTATACAGTTATTTACGTGACAAACTTCAGTAAGTTTTAACAGGAGAAAAATTTCTAAAGGGAGATGGGATGATTCCTAAAAGTGTATGTTGAATTCTGTTGGTGTTGGAAAAGACTTTGCCAGCGCATACTTATAGTCATGATCTTCATAATTTTAGGAATTTCAGTGCTTGGATTATTTTCATTGAAAGCAATAGATCCTGCTGTGCAACAAACTAGAAAAATAGTAGAATGATTAAAAGTTTTCGTGATAAATTCACTTTTTAAAAATACTGGAGAAAAATATGGTRTTTTGAAAGTACCATGAATTTATATTTACTTTGCACAGAAAAATTCAGTTTGGATGTTACAATTAACAAATGATGGCAGACTTTTCTCTGAGAGCAATGATGCATGTGAACATTTTCCCCCTGCTGTTACTGCTGTTTTGAAACTGCATGCAAAAGATTGTTAGAGCAAATTTTTGTCAATTTCCGTACAAGCAAATGCAAGTGGAGTTAAGACAAGAAATGTAGTATGTCAAGTATCTTAGTTTGAAAGCTTTTTTTTTTTTAATCAATTTTATGTGAAAGAATATATACTAATTGTATACTAATTGTGAATTGCTAAGTCAGCTCACATGCTGGGTGGACATAGTGTAGACATACAGCAGAAGTATAGGAGTGTATACTTTGAAATGGTTTTATCAGTAATCTTGTGATTGTTGGTAAATATGTTTGTGTATAAAAATTTATACACAAAATTTATACACATTATTATTGTATAAAAATTTATATAAAGCATATATATCCTTCCAGATTTCATGGTAAAATGATTAGAAAATATTTATTAAACAGAAGGGCCTTTGCGGGGAGTGGAGGTACTTTACTGATTATTTTTTACTGTTACCTTCCTCATATTCTCTATTTCTGTTTCCTCCTCCTTTTCCTTCCCCATCTTTCTATTCTACATGTTCCTAAATTCATGCGTCTGTAAACTGCTAGTGTGACTTCCTACAACAAGTCCCCACTTCCATACAGCTGGGGCCATGTGCAAGCTTATGGATATTGCATTCTGGATATCCATTCTGCAATATCTGCATATCTGCAGATATCTGGATATTGCATATCTGGATATCCATTCTGCAATATCTGTGGCATGCAATCTGCAAATTTCAAACGACTGTATCATTTATATTTATGCTTGTAATGGTAGTGGATGTTTGTTTTATTTAAATGGAAGAATGAAGAKTTGACCCTCAGAGGAGCGCTCTCTAAGCTCCTTCACTTAGAAATAACTATGAAATTCAGTATCTTAAGTTTACATGTCTGTAAATAATTTATTTACCATATATTGTACTAGATCCTATCCAGATATTTTGCCAACATTTCAGAAATAGGGATGAGCTGAGATTTGAGTTTTGTTTTGGTTTAAGTACAATATGACTCTGAAAAAAAAAAATCTTACCTTCCCTGTATATTTTTTTCCACTTCAGTTATGAATATAGGATAGGATTTATAACACTTATTATAGAAAAGACTGAGCTGGGAGTGAGGAGTTACTTGAATTCATAGGAAAGAATGCTAGTCTTCTTGTGTCAAGCAAAATTATTTTATTTCTGAGAAATGCAAATTTCACTTTTCTTTGCACAAATAAGGAAAAAATTATTTTCTTCGGYAGGATAGAATTTTTGGTTAGGGATTCTATGCCAGGGTTGCATCTCATTCTGCAGCTGTTTTCTGAAACTRTCTGCAGAAGTATTGAACTCAAAATGAAGAGAAATGGGAAGGTACTCTCAGTAGCCAACAACTTCCGTGGTGTCCTTCAATTCAGCTGTGTGACAATGATGGTAACGTTTGAAACAGCTGAGAATAATATGAGAAAAATAGTCAATTGAATATTTAGATAAATAATAATAGTGGCATACCTAAATCCTTACCTCTTGTTTGAGCCCATGTTTCTGCTCACCCCTACTGCTTAGTGTTATGTATTTATTTTCTAATATTTCCATACTTCCTTCTCTTAAATGAAGTGGGAAGAGCTGTTTTAAAGGGCTCTTCAGTATAAGGATTCTACAAGGCAGAAATTCATCTGGAAATAGGGGGGGAATCAAAGTGGAGCGCAGACACAAGTTTTGCAAGGTTGCAACAGTCTGTTTTGAAATGGTTTCCAGAAGCTCAAAAATATTGATGTAAAGAACATTATRAATCTTCAAGAAGACAGCATTTATCTTCTGAATATTGTTATCTGATTTATGGAGGCATACCTTTAAATCCAGTAAAACTGGTCATGATGGAATTTACACACACAATGGGAAACACCCGTTTGAAGAGATCCTAGACCTATGTCCTTCTTGGAAGAAAAGGACCTAGCATCTGGAAGAAACTGTAGGTTTACAATTTTATTGGGATGAAACTCCACTGAAGTTGCTGGCRTATGTAGCAAATGAGATGTACTTAGGATCAAAGCCAAGACATAAACGTAGCAGCAGGAAACAAGTCTTATCCTGACCTGATKGTTACTGATGAATATGAAGGCAGATAGTGAGATGTTGAAACAAGTAGGAGCGAACACCTTTCTGAACTTTGCATATACAGGATATTAAGTTAAATATTCAGCATGTAAGTTCTTAATGTTTTGATCTGGATCATTAAAGTTCTTATTTGCTTTGAATGATCCATTTGTGGGTTTTTTTTTTTTTTTTTTCCTTACTATCATCATTAGGCATGAAGCTGGGGAATGGCTTTTTTTTAATAGCAGTCATGATGTTTTATGTGCCTGGGTGGCAAGTTTTGTGGGGGGTATCATCTTTTTGCTTTTTTACTTTTAAAGGGGCTTTATTGTTGCAATCTTGAAAACTGGACAATTTCTTGCCTCTTAGAAGTGTTTACACAGCTAAATTTCTTGAATCTTCAAGTATCTCTCTGGGAATACTTACAGATTTTTAAATTGAGTTGCCGGCATTAACTGATAAATAGGTAATGATAAATACTATAAACTCTATCGTTGCCCTCTCAAAAGCTGCCAGCTGAAAAAATAAGTTTAATTAAAATTAAAATGTGTAACATTGAAATAACATTGAACTGAAAGGAGAGCTTCCACCGGAAGCTGATATGTTAAATTCCATTAACTCTGTTAAATTAAATTGAATTCAGGTCTGATCTGTTAAATTCCATTCTGATTAATATAAGGCAGTGATGTGAAGAGTTTATATAAAATCAGATCTTTGTTCTGGTGCCTAAATGAAGTAGCCTGATGGTTGCTTCCACGATTTTCTTTTGTTTTTTAACTATATAGAATAGAGAACAAAACAAGAGGACAGAATGAATGATTTTTTTTTTCTCACAAGATATTTGACTTAGAACTTTCTGTAGTAATACCCGTGTTTTGCTATTTTGAGCAGTTATTATCCTCTTATTTAAATTTATCAACAGTGTGATGATGAGTCTACAAACTCAAGTAACTACTGAAGGCTAGAATATAGTTTTCCAAGAACTAGCCAAATTAATGTACATGACAGCCTGATAATTGCTTAGGTATAATTCCAGTTCATGCAATTGCTTGGCTTTAATAAAATATTCCATGGCTTAATTTGAAATGTGTTCCAAATACTATCACAAGTGATTCATGGAATCAGGATGAACAGTAATTTGTATGTTTTAATATAAAGATGGCTGATTAGTCTTTTCATCAATTTTGAGAACTTCATGGTATATTGTTCTGAAAAGTTTGAGAACTACTGGGTCTGGAGATATTTTATTTTATATAACTTCAAATTTTCAAATACATGGTTACTAGTAATTAGTAACATATTTAGCCCAGGATAGTTCGGAACAATTAACTATATTTTGTCTGCTTTTTTTTTGTTGTTGTTGTTGTTTTGTGTTATTGTTTTTGTCACAATAAAAGCAAAGTTGTGAAATATAGGTTGTAAGTTGCAGGGTAGAATCCTTGAAAAAGGCATTACTTTTGTTCTAAATCTTATCTTGCACTGTAAAGCTGTAAACTAATCTGAAAGTGGCAAGTGTTATCTGCATACTCCRAGGAATCAAGTAAATGAAATCATTGCTTCTTTGGGTGTGGAAAGAAAGGTAAAGTCTTACCCTATATTGCCCTGTATTAAGTCATAACATACTCTAAAATTAAAGTTTGACTTCCATACTTGTTGTCATGGTTCCTGGTTCTGTCCCAGTGCTTATATGTGTGGGAAGCTTGGGTGCAAGATTCAACTTAAGTCACTTAAGTACTGTGAAGGATCTTATTTGGGTTTTTTTGGTTGTTTACTTGTTTTTTTATGCTTGTTTGGTTGTTTGCTTGTGTAAGAATACAATGATCTAAGCAGCAATTTAGAAAAATAAAAACATGAGACTTAGATGATTAGCAAAACAGGATGTATTTGCTATACAGGACTGTAAGATGCCTTCTGCTTTCAAAGAATACAGATGAACTTTCTAACTGTAACTGTCCAGTTATAATGTGAGAACACAATTTAAAGCTTCTTTTAAATTTATATTTAAATTTATTATAATTTCTTCTGATCTCATAGCTGTATGTATTTATGTGGTTTAATTTTCTTTTTTCATGGTGATAATTCTTTCATTCTTTTCCCCCTGATGTTTCTTTAGTTGATATAAATACCTTAGATTCCTTTGCTCCATTGATATGCACAAGGACAAAATCTAAAATGCAACTTACAGTGGTGTAGTAAGCCAATGGTACTAGATAGACAATTTTCGTGAATTTCCCCAACTAACTTTATATATACATATATATATATATATACACACATATACATATATATATATATATATATAAAATTTGAATGTGTATAATACACTGATATTTTTTTTTCCCTGTGCTCTCTGCAGAGTTTTATATGAAGGGAAGGAACGTATAATTTCAGGGTGTGAAGTGATTCAGGCTACTCCTTATGGTCGTTGTGCCAACGTTAACAATAGTTCAGCATCTTCTCAACGGATCTTTATCACTTACCGAAGAGCCCCTTCAGTACGGCCTCAGAATTCATTGGCAGTGACGGATATCTGTGTTATTGTTACCAGCAAAGGAGAAACCCCTCCTCATACCTTTTGCAAAGTTGATAAGAATTTAAATTGCGGCATGGTGAGAATTTAAATTACTCGTTTTTGGAACAGGAGAAGGAAGGGGGGGAACCSAAAGCTCTTTAAACTTGCTAGCTCYGTTATGACTGTGTTATACTGCTGCATCATAACTCTTTCATTCCATATACTGTGTGAGAAATTTCTGTGGTTCTTCTGCTGTTTTTTTCTTATGTACTGTGAAATACTTATTCAAACTGGCCCAAACTACACTCCTTTTCTCCCCCCCAGCCTCCTCCTCCTATTTTTTGTTCCTTAAAATGCTGATGCCCATTGAGAATCACAAAAACTTCTTGATTTCTTTATTACTAACACGTTACTAAAAAGCTAAAAAGTGGTAAGAATAGTAATTGCTGCTTATGGTCTGCTCCTGTACTCCTTTTTTTTTTTTTTTTTTCCCCATTGTTTTTTAGTGTGTTTTATTATTAGTACTCCAAGGCTGAAACATGAGATTTTTCGAATGGTAGAACGTAGACAAACAGAACACTATATAAATCAGAGACTCAGAGACTCACAGACTGGTTGAGGTTGGAAGGAACCCCTAGAGACCATCTAGTCCAACCCCCTGCTGCAGCAGGGACACCCAGAGCACGAGGCACAGGGTGGTGTCCAGGTGGGACTGGAATACCTCTAGAGAAGGACATCTCACCATTTCATAGAAATAGGAGTCATTTCATAGGAATGCCATAAAAACTTCTAGTGAAAAAAAAAAAAGTGAAAAGGCTTCTAGTGAAAATGTTCAAAATTTCACTCCCATTAATGAGATTCTCATTAGAATCTGCAGTGATTTTATTCTTTTATATCTTGTATTTAAGTGTCACCCTTGTTTTGTATGAACATTCAGATATTTATACCTGATTTCTCTGCTGCCTGCTCTAGTCCTTGTTTGCTGTAAAGTGATATTTTTGTCTTACAGTGGGGTTCCAGTGTGTACCTTTGYTATAAGAAGTCTGTGCCAGCTTCTAACTCTCTAGCATATAAAGCTGGTAAGTAATTTTAAAGCAGAATTTGTAAACATGCTAAAAGAAGTATTTAAATGCCTTGTTGAAATCATATAATTAAAAGAGCTTAAATGCTCTAAAATCAAAATTCTGTTCATGCTAACGGAAATCAAAGAGTTGTCTTTGATTGTCTTTTTTTTTTTTTTTTATCTTGTGCAAAAAGTGGGCAAGGAATGGCATTGCTTTGTACTAATTTAGTTCATATCTTGACAGAATTGGCAGCTTAGGAGTGTTAGCAGAAAGAGTAGCAAGCATCTGTAACAAAAGATTTCACATGTCATCTGATGATAATGGAAAACAAGGAATAAATGGAAATTTCAGGGTTATTCCTATTTACTTGTATATTTTGTAACCAATAAAATATCTTACATTTAATTTGAAAGTTAAATGTATTCTTCCTTTTCTGTTCCACATTCCTCCTGTTCTGTTCCACATCCTGTTGCTTTAGTAAAGTGAAGAACATTCCAAACAGTGAACGACAGGAAAGTCTTTTCTTCTAAATCTCAGCTTTATAACTTAGTTTAATGCATTGCCAAGGATATTTTTTTTCCTGAAAAGTCCAAGAAAATAATCTTTCAGTAGTTTTTTCTATTAAGTGTTAAACCTAAGAAAGGAATAAACCTTTGGAAGGAATAAACTACCAACTATAAGTGGAAAGCATAGAAAACAAAAGAAATATGTCATAAAATAACTAGAGAAGCAACAACAGTAAACTGCAGCTTGTGGGCATACATTCTAGCAGGTGATATTACACTAGCTGTTTATTAGGTTTTCAAAACTATGTTTAAGTTGCTAATACAGAATGCTACAAGTGAGTAGCAGAAAATGTGGTCAGTTAGTTAATAAGATCCTGCTACTGTTGCTATAGTAAAGATAATAGATATATTATCCCTTTGTAGAATTTCTATGTAATATAATCCCCTTTAATGGCACATTTTGGTAGCATAGGTTATTTCCAATAGGGTTAAAGTTAAAATCTTCACTGGTTGTTTTTTACAAATTACTGGTTTTTGAATGATTGCTGTAAGGGAAGCTCTAAGTTTAAAATTTTTGTGAGAGACTTATTTTCTCCTGTATATATATATATACTTTAGCTATTACGTCCAGCTAAGGCATAGATTTTTGGTATGCAGTGTGGTAAATATATTGCTGCTTTATGACTGTCAGATCAAATGCACATTTCCTTCTCCTGTTTCCAAGGCCTAATTTTCAGATATCCTCAGGAGAACTAYGAGTCATTTCCATTGTCAGATTCTGTACCGCTCTTCTGCCTKCCTATGGGAGCTACTATTGAATGCTGGGACCCACAAACCAAATATCCACTACCAGTATTCTCCACATTTGTACTGACCTGTTCCTCTGCAGAAAAGGTATGGCCGCACACTGCAAAGTTATATTTTGATTTAAATGGCTGATGTAGAGTAAAATAGACTTTTTCTTTTATTCCATACTTGAAAATAAAAGAAATTGCCAAATACTTCCATGAGAAAAGTATACATTTAAAGCTTTTCCTGCAAGACAAATCTAAGCCTAAAGGAGAAATAACTAGGAAAGTTGGTTAGTCCTACAGAAGCATAACTGCTTGCTTAGACAAACCAAAGTCATAGGGTCTAAATTTTCCTATTCTTTCAAACAAGATGTTTCTAGCAACAGGAAGGAGTTTACTTGTTAAGGGGATGTTTGATTACTATGTGTATTAATAATGGACAAGTGCTTATGTATTTCCCATGATTTTCATGAAAGACCGTTTGTGTGGGTCTGTTGTAAATGGGCTATATGGGTGTGAATAGAGAAATAGGCACCAGAAAAGACAAAAAGAGGAAAAGTAGCATCTGAAGGGCTCCCAAGATCTTATGAGCACTGGAGACTAAAAAATCAGGTGAGTTTACATGATTTGATAAACTCAGATCACCAAGAGTTTGCCTAATCTATACTAGGCCACCAGCACACATGTACTCCAATGGTGTGTTGCAATATTTGGCTCACATCCAATAAACTGGTGGCAGCCATAGGCRGACAAAGACTGCAGGATTATGGATGTACCAGGTGAAGCAAGGGAGCACTTGTTTGATATTGGTCTAGCAGCTGTTTCTTCAACCCAGCAACAACTATAAGTGTATATGTGAACTCTGTGAGGGAGTAAGCAAATGCAATGTGTGATTAGTTGTTTGGATATAAAAGAAGTCTTAATAAATACCGATTCTGATTTTTGTCCTGCTCTGTCTGGATTCTCCATTAGGAAAATTTACATGCTTGCCTATTTCTAAGCAAGAAGTAAAAATATTTTGCCATGGTATTAACAGAGACATAAAAAAGATGAATACATTACCTGCCAGACTCTTTTTCTGAAAGCTCATATGGTGTGGTGAACATGTCCCTGTCTACTGCGTTTTGATAAGCTTGCCAAAATAGTTCAGTTAAATATGGAAATTTGGATAAGGAGAGAATGTTAGAAAAGATTGGGACCTATGTAATTTTATAAAATAAAGAAATCAAATCTAAAATAAATGTTCTTGGTTAGTGTGGCAATAGAGAAGAATTGTGGAACAGAAGCATTTCCTGACATGATTTGACTTAATATAGTGTAATACAGCTAATGTATATAGTCCTGTCATAATGTGTGGCTTGGTTCTGTTCCCTTTCTTTTACAGTGTATCAACACTTTGTTGAAGAAAGTACTGTGGAAAAAAAGAGGAAGGGAGGCACAAGAGTTAAAAAAAAGTTTACATTGCTTCTATAAGAGCACTTTATGCATGTTACATTAATAGAAAGTAGCTTTGGGACCTGCCAACAAAAGCATTGCTGTATGTGTGTGAACAACACTGGCTTAAGTCTGCTTGCAAAATGCTAACCCACATTTCTTTTTGGTAGTAGATCTACTTAGCTATTTTTCTTTATCATTTAGGTTTATGGTGCTGCTATTCAGTTTTATGAGCCTTATCCTCGGGAACTGCTAACAAAAAATCAACAATTGCAGCTGGGTCTCCTGACAGCTGTAGAGAGAAAAGTGATTACTTCCAAGTCTATCAATTCCAACAAATGTATCTGCCTTCTTTCACACTGGCCCTTCTTTGAAGCGTTTCGGAAATTTCTTATGTTCATCTACAAACTCTCTGTCTCTGGACCTCATCCTCTTCCCATTGAGAAGTATGTAAACCATTTTCAAATACGAGAGAGTTATATGAGTGCAGAGAGTTATATGAGTTTAAAGTGAAGTTGTACATCGTTGAGGATTTATGCACGTGGCACTTAAGTGATCCTTGATCCATGCTTTTGCTCTTAATTGCTCTTACAGTACAATACCTTGTATTGTATTGGTAGAATTATTCTTGCTCCAATTTAACGACATTGTCTCTACAGTGCCAGAAAAATAAAATGGATTTTACCTGGACCTTTCTCTTAGTTTATCAAGTGTGTTTACTGTTTCCTTTACCCAGGTCAGACGGAAATGTCTGAGCTACAAATTCCATGATAAGATTTGCAGTTCTGCGTTTTAAATTATTAAATATAAATTCAGGAATGAACCTTGTGAAAAAAACTGTGAATATCTAGGGCTACTTCTAACCACAGAAACTAATGTGAATAAGTTGTCAATATGCACAACTTCATAAAGGATATTTCCATTTCATGATATACTGTAAGATGACTTAAATATGATACAGTATTCAGAATAGCGTTAAGACTTTTGGAAGTTAAGTGCATAGTTTTCTTTAGCTAAGCTTCATTAAAAACTTAGTAGCATGGAGTTTGACTACTTGGAATTTTAAATGGCCTGCCTAAATTCCAATACGTTTTTATCTTCTATATATATACCTAAAGCTGATAGTATTACACGTCACCTTCAAAATGTATGAGAGGGGTTATTTTGTTTTCAATTTCTATAAAAAGGCTCATACATTTATAAGTATAGCAAATAAATCTTAGCAATGTTTCTAGAACATGATATCATAGTAATTGCAAAATATAATTCATGTCAAACCTTCATGCTGCTTTTCTAAGGTCTTTTCTTTGTTTCAGGCACATATCCCACTTTATGCACAATATACCTTTCCCTTCACCACAAAGGCCGAGAATTCTTGTGCAGGTAAGCAAAACATTTTTATGTTTATGGAACATCCTTAAACAAGTGGAGAATCCTCCTTCTTATTTTGAAAGACCAGATTCTTCCTTTAGACTTTATTTGGCTTTAAAATCTCTTTGCTCCTCTGCTAGGAGTGGAAAGGGAAGAGACAGAAGCATACGTGGGGAGGGGGAGAAGACAAAAACTAGATAAAATTCAGACGGTACAACTGGCAGAATAATGCAACATGTACTTTTGAAATCTCTTTATCATATATTACTCTTTCATTCTCTAGACAGAATCTGTATTACTCAGTATTTGGGAGTTTTGTTTTGTTTGCTTTGTTTTGTTTGTTTTTGCCTTTCAATTCCTTGTTTACTTAGTCCTGCAGGTCAAATGTTGCAGTCTCCTGGGGTATTCTCTCCAGTGATTTGCTCTTTAATCACCTAGCTGCATTTACATGCCCAACACTGAGTCACAGTTTCCTGTAACTTCTTGGGATCGTTTCAGTGACTGAGAAAAACTTTGTTGATCTACTGAACAGAAGTGCCAAAGACTGTGTGATTCATGTCTCTTGCATAACATTGTGACCCTCAGTCTGCCAGGCATTTTATTAGGTTATTTGAATACACTTTTAGACTGGGTATTACACTGTATTAGATTTGGAATTGTCCTTATCAAGCACTATTTTATATTTTTCAGCTTTCTGCCCATGATGCATTAATATTGTCTCAGCCAGTTTCTACACCGTTGCCATTAAGGTAACATTATTTGTGTTTTGTATATGTATACCACTGTATATGTATACCAATGTATACCACTTGAGAAATTAAGAGGCAATGAGGCATTATTAGCTCTTGTAAACAGAAAACTCAATATGTGTATATAATATAATGTGGTGGGCTCTTTTGGGTACAATTCTGTCCCTTATTAAAGGATAATATAACTGATTATCCTGAAATGAAGATGGTTTGTTAGGTTGTTGTAGAAACAGTGGAAAAAGAAGCAGGCTGTGGGGGAAGAGTACATATTGGTATGTGTGTGTGCCTCTGTGTGTGTTTGAATAGAAGTCTACAGAGACTTCTAGAACTATTTAATATCTTTTTTTCACCTTCTTCTAATCCAATATTATGTCAAGMAACAATGTGAAATCAAAATGTGCACACCTGTGCAAACATTCTGGAAATCTAAAATCTCCCTTAAAACTGGTGATTGTGGTTGAACATTGATGCATTCTTTGTGAATACTGCCTGCATCTTCTGGGCAAGAGCTTCTGATGTATGCAATTTTTTAAAAATTGCATTCTCCCTTTTTATTTTATATTTTTTCTTTTTAAACCTTGTCATTTAATGTATATTTAAAAGAATCTCAGGTTTAATCACATCTGTTACTCATATACCTAATGAAAAAGAGCAGCAAGCCACCGTTTTTTTTATTTTTCCGGTGAGTGCCCAGTCTTACAGACTCCTCTTGAATTCATTAATGTCTCTGCAGTCCAAACAAATGTAATGTGGATTAAATTGTAGGAGTTAAATGTGTGTTTGTATCAAGGTGGTTGGCTGATTTTTATCTGGCTGCTGTTAACATTTCTAATTCTAAAGTAATGATTAAATGGATATTTTTGTTCATGAGCTCTGACCTGATATTTACTCATCAAATGAAGCTGCTGCTGTCGTTCTACACTTGCATTACTTATTAACCAGTTARATCAATGTTTTCCCATAGTAATAAAGTAGGCATTAAGATGGCAAGATGCCTGTTTCACAGCCATAAACAACACATTCTAGCAGTTGCACAATTTTACTGCTTCAATTATGTGCTTTTTTTTTTTTAATTTGGTTTGCTTTTAGCAGTAAAGTTTTGCATATGTGATTGCTTATTAGATAGGTAGATATAGGTAGATATTTGATGTTGGTAATGGCTAACACTACTCTGTCCCTGGTCTGTCCCTGAAAATTTCAAAGCTGTTTTTCAGTAGAGTTTCTGCTCTCTTTTATTTATTTTTTTTCTTCTCCTTACCCCAAGGTTTTTAATATTTACATCCTGTAATGTTCTTTTCCTTCCTCTCCCCTCTTTAGTGGAGCAAACTTTAGCACTCTGCTCATGAATCTTGGACCCGAAAACTGTGCTACTCTATTACTTTTTGTATTACTAGAAGGCAAGATCCTCCTCCATTCTCTTAGACCAGCTGTGTTGACAGGAGTTGCTGAAGCTGTAGTAGCTGTAAGTACAAAGTGTTCTGTGTAGCAGTGGAGGAAATCACTGCTGACTCTAATAATTAACTACTTTTAGTCTTCTTCAGTAAAATTGACATACTAAGTCATTTTTTTCCATCATTAGCATTTAGTTGGAGTACTCTATTATCTGTTATAACTTTTATAACTATGGAAATGACAAACATTTTTGAATAGATAAGAGAAATGCTCCATTAAATAAATTATCAGACTCAAAGACTTCTAAGAATGTAGCTCATTTCAGCTTCCTGCATATACCAACTTCACTTGTATTTTAATTGTACAATGTCTTTTGTCCTGCTTCAATATGTTAATTTCATTTAATTTTTCTTTCAGATGATATTTCCATTTCAGTGGCAATGTCCATACATCCCTCTCTGTCCTTTGTCTTTGGCCACTGTGCTCAATGCCCCTCTTCCATTCATTGTTGGAGTAGATTCACGGTACTTTGATCTGTATGATCCGCCACAGGATATTGTGTGCATTGACTTAGACACAAACATGGTGTACATGTAAGTCTTGTGGAGCTTTTTTGTTTGTTTATTTGTTTTGTTTTTATCTTGTCTCTAGATAGAGAGATTGTTCATTCTTTCAGATACAATTTTATTAAAAATATATCTGATGGTTTTCTTGTCTATCCTCTTTTTCTCTTTCCTAATGTTTCATAGCAATTGATGACGGGATATAAACTAGAAAGAGAAATTTAATATGAAGCTGGGAGTTAGCAGTGAGGACTGCTTGGAGAACTGTGTTGCAGATGTCACTCTAAATGTGACAATGACACATTTTTTTTTTGGTTCATGTAATACTCTGCACAGGATCTAAGCTAGAAAGAGAAAGAAGAGTGTATTTTTTTATACTACATGACTTCTCACATTTTCACCTTGCTCTACCACTTTTCCGTTTGATTTACCTGACTATAGAAGATGAACATTCATGTGAATGTCAAAGCTTTAGGACCCCTTAGGACAGCTTTGGATGCTGGCATACACTCAGGGCACCCTAAATCAGCGTTTGATTTTTTGAATGTTTTGAAGAGGTTTTTTTTTCCTTCACATAMAACAGCTAATTCTTTGTAAGGTAAATCAAGCAAAGCTTTGTGTATTGACCGTATTCAGTCTAAAACATTTTCCCTAGCTGTTAGTTTTTAATGGTTTTCTAAAAGTGAAGGRTTTGCACGTGCACTTTCTTTGTGACTTTTCAGAGAAGCTGATTCAGAGGATTTTCATTTTCTGTAACGAATTTAAACAACAGTTCAAATGGGCTTGAAAACAGTTTTTTTAGAGAAGTATCTATATAGATAATAGATGCTTCTAATATAGAATGGAAGTATCTAAGATATTTTAAGATGAGAATGGATGAYACTAATAGAGTACATGCCTTTTCTCTGTGAAAACAAGCATTGTAACATGTCGTTTTAACTTTGGCTTAATTATTCAATTTTACTCACTTGAGTTAGAATTAGTCATTTCACTTCTGGGTCGGTTGAATGCTTTCAAGAGGTGCCGATGCTGTCAAGAGGTCCCTTCCTGTAATGTCCTGTTGTAGCTTTATTTGAATTACTAAAACACCTCTTTTTATTWGACGCACTAGAAGAAATAATACACAGAGCTTCTTTTATTATTATTTTTCATCTTATGGTCTCCTTCCCTATATCCTCTTTTAATAAAAAAAAAAAAAAAAAAGACAACACACCAAGAGCATTTTCATTGGTTTATCTCAAAGTATTATACCCCAAAAAAATTATTTTCACAATGTTGTGAAAAGAAGAATGTATTGAAGAAACTTGGAGAAGGTCATTCATTCATTCATTCAAAAGGATAGGAAGATATTAGTTTTGTGAAAAATAACTGAATGTTTGAGTCATAAGTAGGATTAAAGTTGAAGAGTGTATTTCAGGAAAATGATGTAGATATGAAAGTAGGATGTTTAATACACAGCTGTGAATGCCAAGATTATGTTGGAATGAGTCATTGAAAGATCAAGTATAAACCTTACTTGGATTTCCTATTAGTTACTGAACTGAAAATTTTCTAGAGGTTGGCCTTTTGTGAGGCATTATACTTATTGTGTGAGACAATATTTTACAGCCTTTTCCTTTGCTATCTTCCAAGTGTCCCACCTATCTGGTTACATCCATTCACTGTGTGCSCTGTGTGAGCACTCACTGTTACTTAGCTGACGTACAGAACAGTTAAATATCTGTACTCTTGACTTAAGTAAATATGAGTTAATGGTAATTGTATCATATGCAATTTTTTTAACTGCAAAATGAGAATATTTTTCTATCTTGTAAAATTTTTGTCTTACAAAAGATTAAAACCCTGTAAACACACGTTGACAATAATGTAAAGTTCTAAAGTATTGCATTACCAGTAAAATGGGTGAAAATGTTCCATGCAGTAATACTTCATTTTGTCAACATCTTGTTTTGCTTGTGTTTATTTCTGTGAGGGTGTTGCAATATTTTTAGGTGTAAAAGCACTTAACAGCACGGTTGCTCACTTTTTATTGTTATTGTTGTTTTCTGATTGCRTAATCGAAGGATAACACAGTATTTTCTAGTACATCTGTCAGTCTTTTGATAGCTATTTTGCTAGTACCTTTCTAATAGAATGAACCTTAACTTGTTGCCAGAAATGCTGAATGCCTTTTATTCATTCAGCTGCTTCTTTAATGTCTATTACTGGATGTTTTCAATTGCCTCTTTGAAAGCAACATTGAAAGCTGCTTAGAGAAATAAACTTTTAAATCTGTGCCCTAAAAAGGTTATTTTTATGGAAAGATTTTTCCTCTTGTGTTTTTGGAACAGTTCAACTTCTGGCTATGTTGGTTTTAGGCATGCCATCGTGGGGAGAGGGAGAGGAAAAGAAATCCTCACATGTACTTTTTTTTTCTTTTACTCAGAAGAACGTGGGCTCTCATCCTACATTTCCATGTAATTTAGCTTATAGCTGAATGAGCATTTGCCTTCAAAGTGCAAAACAAGCAGCAACAGTGTCATCTCAGTTAGTGAAAGCTTCTGTCTTATGGATAGTTTACTGTACTCTGCACTACAGAAATTCTACCCAGTCTTCCAGGAAAAAAAGGCCTAAAGGTGCCAGGATATACTCACAACTCTCTCACTCTATACAAGTCTGTTAAACAGGTCTGRATCTGTTGATGGTGAGCATCTGATAAGCAAATTTACCCCACTGTTTAATCAGCTACATGATTCTCAAGCTGCAAATTGAATTCCCAGTCTTCCTAGTACCTGGCAGTCTATTTTGGAAATGGAAACAGATTTGCTGTATGGCAGGCTGTAGTGTACCATGTGACTGTAAAGTTATCTTCATTTTTTTTTTAGTTAAGTTCTGCAAATAAAATAATTAAGGCCAATGGAAGTTACATTTTAGATATGTATGGATATTAAATATCCTTTTTTTCCTCCCCTTTATTTTAGATCAGATGATAAGAAGAGCACAAACTGGAAACAGTTTCCTAAGAAGCCATGTAAAAGTCTGCTCAGCACCTTAAAGAAACTGCACCCACAACTGGCAGCAGGTGAAATTATTTAAAAAAAAAAAAGGAGAGAGAGAGAGAGTGGGGCAGTAAGAACAGACACTAGCTAGAGCAGGGAGAGCAAGTATTTGAAGAAAACTACTTAATTTTCTGATAGACACCTACAACTCTTAAATAAAAATGAATGTATAAATGTTTGTTCTTCTATCATATGTGGTATGCTTTTTCTCCTCCACACATACATTTGACTTCTATTCTCTTACTTCTTCAGATTTGAACTATATTTAGTTTTTTTGCCATGGCTCAAATTTATATTACATTTAAGCAAAGCTTCAGCTGAAATGTGTTTGGATCTAAAATATAACTCCTGTGAAAAATAACTGAAAGAAGAAGCATTGTTTTGGTTCAGATAATGTTGAATAACTCAAATACTTTATTTATTTGTAATAATAAATAAAGTATTTATTTAGTAAATAAATTTAGTCAATAAATACTTTATACTAAATAAAATACTAAAATACTAAATAAAATAAAAAATTTATAAAGTAAAATTATTATTATTTATTTGTAATAATAATAAATACTTTATTTATATGGCAGGAAAGTTAGGACGTAGCTTTATTTTGAGAATTTCTTGGGAAAAACTCTAATATAGTGACTTGGACAGGTACAAGCAAAGTTGTAAGTGCACTTAATGTGTTTATGGGTCTTATTTCTTTCAGTTACTTCAGCATAAGTTGACAGGTCCTAAGATCAAGTTGATTCATAGTATGCTGGGGTGCATTGTTTTGGAAAAGGAGACAGTGAAAGCTCAGATGTGTGCAACATACCTAGTGCTCGTAAATAATGGAAACAGGAAAATGCAGTGTGTAGAAGTTGGATCCTCATAGACTCACAGAATAGTTGAAGTTGGAAGGGACCTCTAAGAGATCATCTAGTCCAACCCCCTGCTCCAGCAGGGACACCCAGAGCACAGGGCACAGGGCGGCATCYMRGYGGGKTKKGAAGACCTCCAGAGAAGGAAACCTCCCTGGGCAGCCTGTGCCAGGACTCTGTCACCCTCACTGTCAAGTTGTTCTTCCTCAAATTCAAGCAGAGGTTCCTGCGCTTCAGTTCGCAGTTCTTTCTTGTCCTGTCACTACATGTTTTTTTTTTGTTTGTTTCTTTGTTTGTTTTTAAATCTATGTTTTTCAGTTTTCTACAATAACTCAACTGTTAATTTGGTTCTACCTAATATGTAAATACTGTAGACTGAGTTCCAGACTGTAACTTGAGCATATCCAAAGCTGTCTGTTAAGTGGTTTTTCTGTTTCAGCAAAATGTAATGTCAGTGAACCCTCCTGAGGAAAAAATGAAGAGGAAATCCTGCAAATTTTATTGTTGTATGGATTAAAAGAAAAAGATGACTATAATTTAGGAGACAGATATCTTGAAACTCTAGCTAAATACACTGGGGATAAATGATCTTATTTTAACTTTTTACCAGATATCTCAGTTTGAGAACAATTTGAAATGATTGTATGTGCATGAGAAATGTTAGAGCAATAGTAGGACAAATCTCTGGTTTCTGTATAGCTAAAGAAAACTGGAAAATTGTAATAAAGTGAAAAATGTAGAAACACTGCGCTCTAAAGTAAGCTGTCAGCAGTACTTGCTACTGTTTTTTAAATATTRTATGCATTACAGCTTGCAAGAGTGAACTGTGACTCTCATCTACTTGTTTCAGCCTTATACTACACAGAAATGGTGGAAAATTCTATTTGGGAAATTTTTTTGGGAAGTATTTTTTCTGGATAGGCAATTTCATTTAATCACAGACTCATAGGATAGTTGAGGTTGGAAAGGACCTGAAGAGATCATCTAGTCCAACCCCCTGCTCAAGCAGGGACACATAAGACGTGGCACATCCAGATGGGTTTGAAAAATCTCCAAAAATAAAATGTTCTATAATCCAAATAGTGTTTGTGTGGCTTTATTACTGAAAGTCCATATTCAGTTGGATATGTGATTAATATTAGCCCAGTTGAGATCTTCATTATTTATACCCAGGCAGACTAAGAAAGCTCATAATTAACCATTGATGTAACTGACTTTCATACAGGCTGGGCAACTTAGAATGTAATCACGGGATAAGCAGAGCTCTTTTTCCAATGTTTGTCACTTCTGAATATTGGCAAGTATAAAAAGGAGAAAAAAAACCACAAAACTCCCTTTTCATTGTCTTGCAGAGCTTACCAGTTTTAATTTTAATATAGGATTATGTGTGTTGTTTTTCACTAGTTCGCAGGAAAACTCAAGAAGGCTCTGCAGTAGAGATGACTCCCATTGAGGCAGATTTCTCCTGGCAGAAGAAGATGACTGAGCTTGAGATGGAGATTCAGGAAGCTTTTCTCCGTTTTATGGCTTCAATTTTAAAGGGTTACAGAACATTCCTCAAGCCAATCACCCAGGCCCCTTCAAATAAGGCAACAGCTGCTGAATCACTGTTTGATCATCAAGGTAAGGGTCAGGTAGATCATCTGCAGATAACATTGGGAATACTAAAACTTCAAGGTTGAACTGCTGTGTGAAAGTTCAGATTTCTGTTTGGTTGTGCAACTTTTTGCAATATTTAAAGCTGCAGTTGGATAAACTAAAGTTTTCAGAACATAAAACAGTTGTTCAGTACATAAAAATGCAGAAATAGAATTCCAAATTTCTAATGGCTTTGGAATTAGAGGAATCATCGTTCAGTAGTATGATACTAGCTTGGCAGCTGTTGGAGGATATAGAACGTTTCTCAGCTTATATAGAGCAAAAATTTCAGAGAGCCAGTAATGAAGAACAAAGTAATACTCTTAATATAAATGGGAAAATAGAGAACTGGTCAGAGCTCTCAAACATGACGGAAACAATAGTCAGCAAAAATTATCTCATTTACCTTCACTGTGACTTTTCAGATCTATTCATGAGTTGAATGCTAGCTAAACACCAAATGCCACTGGTGGTTTGTTTGGGTTATTTTTTTTTTTTATAGAGAGTTGAATGGAGTATCAAATGTTTGGCAAGTCTTAAGTATCTTCAAGTCTAGGCTCTTTTAGCCTAATGCATGGTATTTGTAATATTTTTTTTGAGCCCTTAAAATTGATATGTGTTGACACTTCAAATGTTCGCTTCTTATGGAGCTTGTAACTGATGTTTTAATGTATATTCCATTTTCTTCCTAACCAGGATTTTTAAAAAGTCGAGACCGTGCCTATACAAAATTTTACACGCATCTCACCAAAACACAGCTATTTAGCAGATTTATTGAAGAGTGCAGTTTTGTGAGCGACAAAGATACTGGCTTGGCATTTTTTGATGACTGCATAGAAAAGGTGAAAAGAACATTAATAGTTTTAAATGATACACTTTTGATCACTTCATGTTATCGTTTTGGCTATAATTTTCAGATTTTTCATATGTTGCAAACTTCAATTATTATTGTATTGCATAGTGACATTGTTATATCAAAAGTATGTTAAAATCTTGATTTCTTCCAGTTCAATAAAGGTGATTTGCTATTACCGATTTAGAATCTCTAAATATCTAAATCTAGATATTTAGTTAATAATGTCAACAGATATAGAATATATGGAAGAKGCAGCTATCAAAATTCCTTTATTGAAAGCAAAAGAGATTAATTTCATACAACAATTTAGTGTCATTTTGATTTCTCAGTAAATGCTATGTTGTAATTCAAATTAGGTACTTTTTATTTTTCAATTTAGAACAATCTCTTAACTCTTTCTCTCTCTGTTTCTTTTTTCCTAGCTCTTTCCRGATAAAGGAACAGAAAAAGGAGAGAAGGTACATTTTCTCTCACAGTGAAATGAAGTGATAATGTGAACCTGATGTTTAAGTACTTAGAGGGAATATAATTAAAATGGGCTTGTTCTCCTAAAGCCAGTTATACAAACTCTGCTTTCAGATTGATGTAGACTCTGTGGAGGATGCCAGGTTGATTGAGCTTGATGAGTCACAAAAAAGTGAACACACAGTATTTATTATGCCACCAGAACCTCCCCCTGATGATGGTCAAGACCGAGCACCAAAATACAGGTACAAGGCAAACAATTAGGTTGTGGTTGGTAGTTGTTTCACTGTGGTGAAAGTAGAGAACTTGAATGCTGATGAGGACATATGTTCAATCCTGGTGCAACACTTAATCAAATGTTCTAAGGAATTGTTTAAACAGATGTGATCTGCTTGGAATCTGGTAAGCTTCTGAAGCTTTAAAAGTCAAAGTGTTTGTGAGTTTTTGAGGCCAAGTGGATTTTTACTGCCATCTTTTCAGCAACCCCTTGCTAACTTTGTAGTAATACTACAAAAGGTACATAAATGGTAGGAAAGTAACTTCAGTGTGTTGTTTTTGGGTCACAGCAGGAATGAGAGGGGTAGGTAGTAGATCTGCCCAGTATTATTGATCTGCAGCCAATGCACACAAAGAGCTAAAAACCTACTTTACTCTTCATGCTTCTTTCACTGAGTGTTTTTCAGCTTTGTGCAGGAAGTACAGAGTTTTCAGACACTTTGGGCATGTCTTTCCTAGCTATCTGTCTTAGTGGTAATGAGGATTCTGTTTTCTTAGCTGTCATCYCTACTCTTATATAGAAAGTATATGGAAAGTATATCTCTACACAGTACTGCAAAATGGTTGAGGTTGGAAGGGATGTCTGAAGATCATATGCTGCAAGCTCAAACATGGTTACCTAGAGTAAGTTGTCCAGGAGAGTGTCCAGATGGCTTTTAAGTATTTTTAAGGATGGAGACTCTGTAACTTCTCTGYGCTATCTGTTCCATAGTTTAGTCACCTTCACTTTCTTTTTCCTTAGGGAGAGAGGGGACAGAAATTCTCCCCACACACATTGTATTTAAATGTAGCCTCCTGTATTCTGCTTTGTGCCCATTGCTTCTTGTCCTGTTGCGTGCCACTGGAAAAAGTCTAGTTCAGTCGTCTTTGTGCCCTTTCTTCAGCTTATACTCATTGATAAGATCTCCCTGAGCCTTTTCTTCTCCAGGCTAAATAATCTCGGTTCTCTCAGCGTCTTCTCAGACGTATGCTCCAATCCCTCTTTGCAGCCCTTCGCTGGGCTTGCTCCAGTAGTTCCATGTGTGTCTTGTGCTGAGGAGTCCAGAACTGGGCCCAGCTCTCCAGGTGTGGCCTCACCAGTACTGAATAGAGATGATCTACGGGGTATGGATAACCATACAGTTCTTGTATCCATTGTCTACTGAGATATTATGTCTGACATTGTCTTCTTGTGGTATCTTTGTGAACAAGACTTGATGTTGCTATTCTTTTTTTTTCCTCATGCTTGCTTCTCCTATACATTCTTCATATATAAGTTGTTTTTGCAAGAGTCTTCTGCTGTCAGCAAACACAAAAACAACTCTTTTTTTCTTTTTCTTTTTTTTTTTTGGTAATATGTATATATAGCTATACGAACTTTCCACGACTAGATTTCAAGCTCTTTGACAGGCCGCAGGAGCTCAAGCTCTCTTTCAGCAGACACCCAATTGGAGGCTGCATTTCTAATAGTCCAGCACTCATGGCAAAAAGGACAAAACAGGTCAGATTAGTCTTACTGTAATCACTCTGAACACTGAAAGATATATAGTTATTTTGCAAAATTGCTACTAATTCATGTAGTAAAATTTCACTTATTAAAATTAACATGGTAGGAGAGTAGGCTTTTTAGATACTGGGAAACAATGCTTTCAAAGAAAAAAGCTATAATTTCAGTTGTTGAGATTACAGTTCATTGCTAGCCATTTTTTAAGCTTTTGTCAGTAATATTAATAAGAGAAGATACAATGAAAACCTGTATGTAGAAAAGGAAAAATAATTCTGCTTATTTGTGTTTTTTACTTGTAGAGAGGCTTGATAAAGCTGTACGAATAGGGAGGTTCAGTTTAATATTTGGCTATAATTATTAGATGTTCACTTTTAAGAGGCTCGTATCTGAATTAGTAATGGTCTCTAAATTCAGGATGTTCCATCTGTGTTGTCTTCTTTTTTTTTTTTT